TGTAAAATGTTGTCATGGAACTTCTTCAACTAAAGTTAACCCTAGATAATTGATATTGTAAAATGTTGTCATGGAACTTCTTCAACTAAAGGTAACCCTAGATAATTGATATTGTAAAATGTTGTCATGGAACTTCTTCAACTAAATATTTGTAACATACTTTCTTTGTATCTTGTACGAAATGTCCTATTATTGGAGGTTTTATTTTTATTAATGTTTCATATATATATATATCTGTATATATTGTTACGCCTCCGTTCGTTCGTTAATTTTCCGTAAATTCGTTCCGACGAAACTTTAGTGACACAAGTCCTTCCTTAAATAAAACTGGTTTATTCTTTACGATACATTTAATTTCAACAGTCGCTCTATAACAACTCTATAACTCACGTCTCACGTGGCCAACAATATTCTGTCCGCATACATTCAATTACTCATTACCTCTCCGTCGCTTCGTGGCCGGTCTTATATATACAAGACTACACTATATCTAGAAGGATCACGAGATTTAAGGAAAAGACGTGAAAGTTCGAGAATGACGTGGCGTGATACTAGTCACGTGACCTCGATGTCGTAACAATATAAATAACCTTAACATAACGCCGTATTGCCCCTAATTAACGCCCCTCTCTAATTATTGTCCTCCTGACATTTTTTATAGCTTATCTTGTGTGACAGCAATAATAATCCATCATATCATTCATTTTTAATACTGTACTTGTGATTTGAAAAAAATAGAAGAAATAAACACACACACACAGTTATTAGCATTGAAATCAACAAATCACATGTTAAGAAGGTAATCCGAAATTGCACAAATACTAGGGGTGTGTATCTCATCATAGTAGTCGATACGATACGTATCCAGATACAGAAGTTTTAACAACGATTCGTTACAAAGTTTGACAGTCTTGTCTGTAATTTATTATCTATATGACTAACATTGTCTTATTTAAGTATTTCACACTTTACAGTACTTTTTCAAATTCTCAGCTTTGATCAACTAAATGGCAGCTGGCTAGAGAAATAAAATAAAAACTTAATATCAGTCTATCTGTTTTGTTATTGTTAATTTGTTATGTTTTTGATAAAAGAAATGAAGACAAC